GCCCCGAAGTTGGCCTCTTTATCTTGTCTCTTGACTCACCACTGTGTCACTGACACCAACACAAGTGACACTTAACTGTCAAGTGACGCTGGCTTCTACAGAGGACGAACACGTCCACGGTTATGGTCGACTTGTTACAAGTCTAGAAAGGTAGATTAGAAGTGTGTTCTGGCCTTGTAGGCGTCTGACTTGACGAGACAGTTCCGAGATTAAGACTGCTGGATTTCACAGGGACGTGAGGACTCACATCCACAGGTTTTCCACTTTCCCAATTTTTTTCAAGATTTTGGACTTTTTCAAAGGGTTAGATCTAGATCTAGATCTAGACTCTATGTATTTTATATCAATGGAAAGGTCTTTTAAAGAGGAATTTTTAAAAAGTTAGTTAGAGAGACAGCAAAGGCTTGTGGAAAAAGTTATTTAATAAAATGTAACCTTACCTTGTTGGTTGGTGCAAACAACAAATCCACGAATTATAGATTCTAGATCTACATTCCATTCACCAAATTTGGTATAATAAACATTTAAAATCAAATTCACTGGCCGCAAAAATTATTATGTACACAATAAATGAAAATAATAAAAATAAACAATAAAAAATGGGAATATAACTAAAAGAAAAAGAAAAAAAAAGAAAGATAAGAAATCAGTTGAAAAAGTGTCTCACGTCAAGACAGCCTATAATTAGACCATGAAATCATCATCGGCAGCGGTCTGGACGGCTCAAAGCATTATTGGCATCAAACAAGACAATCATTGAAAGAACAAGCTATTTTGTCCGTAACGTCATTTGTTTACTTCCTACGCGTGCTGCACGTTGTGTTGCAGTCTTTCAATCGATCAATATAAAAACATAATAAATTATAATCATAAAAAGACAGATTTACTGATAAAAGCGTGTAATTGGGTTGGATTTGTAATGATCTCCAATGTTGCTGTGTTTCGCGCATAAGAATCTTAGAAAGAAAAAACTTGGAAAACAAGACAATACATCCGCCTCATCGAAAAGAACGCTAAGGAATGAAAGAATGGTGCCAAACGGAAGTAGTGTTTAGCCTCAGCTTCGCGGAAAGTCCTCATGATTTTCCGTTTCCGTAAATCTACGAGAAATGTTGATTTCGGCTGTAAGATGTTTGCGACTCAGCGGGAGGGGTGCGTCACAAACAACTCTCGAATCTTCTATAAATAATTTCTTAAACATTCGCAAATTACGGCTAAAACTGATGTAGTGGGTGGTTGGCGGGTGCTCTGGTGTGGTTTGCTCCTTCTTTCCTATCAAACATCTATCGTCCTTATCTCCCTTTCTTCTTTT